CACTGTGGTGATTTCTCAAGGATCTAGAAATAGAAATTCCATTTGACCCAGCAATCCCATTACTGGGTATATACCCAAAGAACTATAAATTGTTCTACTATAAAGACACATGCACACGTATGTTCATTGCAGCCCTGTGTACAATAGCAAAGACTTGGAACCAACCCAAATGACCATCAATGATAGACTGGACAAAGAAAATGTGGTACATATATACCATGGAATACTACGCAGCCATAAAAAATGATGAGTTCGTGTCCTTTGTAGTGACTTGGATGAATCTAGAAACCATGGTTCTCAGCAAACTGACACAAGAACAGAAAGCCAAACACTGCATGTTCTCACTCATAGGTGGGTGTCGAACAACAAAAACACATGGACTCAGGAAGAGGAGTATCACACACTGGGGACCACTGGGGGAGTAGGGGAGAGACAGTCAGGAGTGGGGAGGGAGGGGAAGGTGGGGAGGAATAACATGGGGAGAAATGCCAAATATAGTATGTACCTAGAGTAAAATAAAAAAATATATAAAAAAAAGATAGGCCTGATTGAAGGGTTTGCCCTTGGCTGGGAGCTGGGAACTAATTGGTAAACAGTTCCTTACATTGATATAAACGTTTCTGTAAATGGTTAAGAGTGGCTATGCCTAATCTGTTTGTATAAGTTATTACATTACTTGTTACTATTATAACCATAGAGTATAATGCACTTAATTAGCTTGTGAAGTTGGCCTTTCCCCTCTCTTTATTTATCAATATTTTCCTGGCTGGTCTTGCGTGTCTATTTTTCCTTGTAAATTTTACAGTGACAATGTACAGACAGTTGGTATATTTACTAAATGTTCTAGACAAGCACAACTCCATCTTTTTCTATTTTTCCAAGTCTAGTATTAAGCACAGAACTTTTATAGTTAAGCTTATTTACACATTTGTTTTAAGTATTCCTTTTGCAAATGTGATACTTTAATCTTTTTCCCCATTATAATACTTAATTTTTAAGCATGTAGGGAATGTATCGATTTTTGGATATTATATATGTCTACATCAAGCTTATTGATTTTTTTTATTGTTTATAATTTCAATTGATTAGCTGGAATATTCCAGAATTATAATATCTGAGGGAAAAGGTCTCACTTTTGCCACCTGCTGTCCAATTTTCATTTCCTGCTCTTTGCAGGTACATCGACTGGTACTTACTGATCAATGTTAACTAATAGTGGAGATAATGTGCTGTCCTGTCTTATTTTCTACTTTAAAGAGAATGCTTCTAATGTTTCACAATGGAGCACTGTCTCGCTTTCAGTTTTAATGCCTCTTTGCCTATGCCTCTCCATAAAAATTGATCTATATTAGTTCTCCCATCAGGTCATTATTTCAACTTCTCCTTGTGGAATATTAGTCTTGTATAATTGTGTTGTGTGAATCAAGGTCTTCTTTTAATTTCAGGAAAGTCTTAACCTTGTATTTTGTTTTGTTTTCTGTTTTAATTTTTCTGGTTCTATCTTCAGGAACATCAGCATTTCTTTCTTTGTAATATATAGTAATCTCCTTTCTTTGCATATCCACCATCTTTTAAAAAAATTAGTTTATTTGATGTTCTCAAACTGTTCTCCATGTCATTGACTCTTTTTGCCACCAAATATTTTTCCATTTTTATTGCTTCTAATGTGAATTGCATTTCTGTTCTTATTTTATAATACTGAATTGCATTTCTGTTCTTATTTTATAACTCTCTTCTATCTCTTTTTTGAGCTCTGACAGATTACTTTTAAACTCTTTCTGTTTTCTTATCTCTCTTTTGAATACTGAAATTCTTTCTGTTTTGAATTCAGAAAACCATATTTCCCTTAACATCTTTGGGTTCCTGGAGAAACACTTGGTATACTTTTATACCAACTCTTGGTCATGGTAAGATTCTACCCAGCCTGGCTGGAAGTCAGTGGTTTACAGGGACACTTCCAGTGTCCTGGTGTGTGTGTAATAATTTAGAATTCTCTTCCATTGGTTGTCAAAACTTTAACCCCTCAGTCTGTCAAGCTGATAGTCTTTCGTTAGCAACAATGGCATGGTGGGTTTGATGTATTATGGTATTCTGATTGTAAGCAGAACTCAACTATGCTTCAGCAGCCCTTTTCACTGACACAGACCATGTCATACCAAGGAAGTATCACTGGGTTGTCTCCACAGAAAGCTCAGGCTACTCTTGAAGATTCTGAGTGTTTATGAAAGCTGGTAACATATAATGCCATTCTAAGTTTTCTCCCTAACTTATGCCTAATTTCACCACATTAGCCCAATTTCTGTATCAATTGTGGTTTGGGACTTTGACTGTTTTCTGCTGTCATAAAAGCATAGAGTTTTGTATTTTTCATTCTTACTGATTTTGGTCTTTTGGAAAACAGAAAGCAGGGCACATCTATCATCATTAACATAAACATTTTAGCAGTAATTCTGCTAAAATTATTTTTGTCTGTGATCTGCTTCCCCAGATTCTTAGGTTTATTCAGTTAAACTTACATAGTTATTACAATATAATTTTTAGCCATATTAAATTATTTTTATTCTCCTACATGATAAAATTGTTTCTGGATTGGACAGAAGCTAAAACATTTTAAATTTGATCACTAAGTTCTTGATCTGTGGCCCTGTGGTTTGGTGATGTCATTGATCCACTCTTCACTTGACTGACTTCACTGATATCATGGGATAATGTCTGAGCAGGACACCGGTCAAAATACCTGATTTTTGTCTCTTCTTCACTAGGACTTTCTTGATCACACATTATAATTCATATATAATAAGAATATTAACAACCAATTTATTTAACATAAAGTTTAACCTATACTGTAATAAGTCAGAATGTATATGCAACTATCGATTTATTGAAAGTTATATATGGTATTTCTAATGGGACATAAGTTCCTGCCAAATAAACTCTGCATTTTTAAGTATGTTAGTTTAATTCAAATAACTGAATTCTCATTATGAGTTATTCATGCAAATAACTCCTAATCCCCACTCCCAAAGTGCTGGGATTATAGGCTTGAGCCTCTGCACCCAGCCCAGATATATCTTTCTTATAACATAATGTCACCACTTTGTGATCGTTTGAGTAGTTAACTACCTTTTACAGTTAAGAATACTTTATATGACAAGTTTCTAGTCAAGAGAATGAGGCTCTATGCAATGGTCCTACTATTCTAATTATACTTTTAATTGAGTAGTCAACATTAAATGTCTACAGCATGCTAACTCAGTGACAGCAGGAGACAACTCAACTTGCCTTGGAGGCTCATTCAAGTATTTGATGTGAGCCAAGTAACTAATATAACTGTAATATACTTCGGGAAAAGGGATAAGGAAATCACCAGAATAAGGTTAGTCAGAAAAGAACTAAACAGGAATTGAGTTGAAAATATGCATGATACTGAATCAGAGGTACACACGCACTCTCTCTCTCTCTCTCTCTCTCTCTCTCTCTCACACACACACACACACACACACACACACACACGCACATTTATGGAGTTATAGGAAACCTGGAGAATAAAGGCAGAGCAAACAACCTTCATTCAAGGCCACAGGACCAGAACTAGAATGGAAAAAGAGCAAATTACTGTACAGCTGAAATAAAATGCAATCGTATCAATACAAAGAGAGGAGAGAGTAGCAAAAATTCTAAAAACAGTAACCAGAACTCTATGATGGGAGAAAGTTATTGTCTTAGACCAATCAATTTTTGTTTATCTATTTTAACTATATCATTTTCCAAAACACTTTAAAACAGATTTCAAAACCTATACATAGCAAAATCAGTAGATAAGAATAGGTTAAAAAATATACGGTGAGAAAAAAAGCTAAATAAAGCTAAAGATATGTTAATAAACAACGGGCATGCCACACAGTCCTATTTAGGTTCTTAACAGAAGTAAACATGCAAATGTTATCTGTTACAAGATTTCCAGAGGCCATAAGAAAAACAATCCAGCTGTTCACCAAAAGCAGAGAGGTTGAAACTTCAAGGAGATTTATCTTACATGTTTTCAATCAAGAGAAAAGACTGTGTGATAGAGTTGATGACACTTTCAATGCTATTTCTACAATCAATCTGATAGAAAATTCTTACTGATGTTTCTGTAAACTCTTTCAGTTCAATCCAAATAATAACTGCATAAATATTTCTGAAAAAGCAATTATGCAAATATCCAGATAAGCCACTCCCAGATGGTCTAGTTTATCCAAGAGCAAAATTTAAAATACCCAGAGAACATCATGTCTTTCAGATAATCCTCAATGAAAATTATTTTCAGAACATGTAAATCACGCATGAGATAGTTTTTCGTAATATAGTCATTATGCACTCAGATAATTTGTCAATTAATTTCTGTCTAGAAAATGAAGTTAATTAGCTACACGTTTCCTGAATGAGGCTACTCATGATCCAATACCCTCTACTTACCTTATTTTCAGCTGGTTGTTGTTTTCTTCTCTGAAGGGAGTTATTCCATTATATACAATGTGCAAGAAAATTATTCTTAGTTATAGCTCCCTGGGTTGTTGTTTAGAGCAGATTTGTTTATAGGGTAATTCTGAAAATGCTGTTAACTTGGAGAGATTCTAAGTATGCCTTTTTCTATTAACTGACTAAAAAGTATCTGAATTTAAAATCCCAATATTCCAGCCTCTAAGCAATTTTTTTTGCTATTATAGGGAAACAGCACATTCTACTCATAGAGAAGAAGCAGTATCTTTTCATGAAGAATCGCTCCTGCTCCAGACTTTGAAAGGAAAATCAAAATAACTTAAGTAGTACGTGGCCTAAACATGGGCACAATAGAAACACCACCGAGAAACTCACACAAGCTCAGAAGCCTTACATTTGGGGGTAGCTAATCCTGGGTTGTGCCTGTATGTAATCTAGAAGTTATTAGATAGTACAAGATGTCTTAGGTACTCATGATCTTGACAGGCCTGTGTAGTTAACAGAAATTAAAACGTTACCTCAAATCAGCAGCTTTCCCCGTCTTGTTAATACACATCACTTCTCTGGTCTGATATCCAATCTGGATGTCCCAATATTTATTCTCTTGCCTGTTCTGTCTGTTTCTGTTTCTCTTTTTCTTAATAAGTTCGCGGGCTTCTGGATCCTTTACTCCTTTGCTGCGGTCCTTTTCCCGTTCCTTATTCTTCCCGCGTCTCCTTGCTTGTCTTACTTGTCGGGAGTGGGGCACTGAGCAGGTGCTCCAGGGCCCCACATGCAGGCTGTACATGAGCTCTTCGGCCTCGCAGGGGCTGGACTGGCACACCTGGAACTCCGTCAAGTTTGGACAGCCAGAGCCTCCGAACTGCGGGGGCGCCACCACGTGACGCGTCCGGTGCTGGAGCCCGCTGCCGCAGGTCTTGGAGCATTCGGACCAGGCCGAAAACTCCGACACAATGCAATCTTGCTGGCAAGGAATGAGGCAAGCCTGCTCCAGGAGAGGCTTGGGCTCAAAGTACTCACAGATGATATCCTCCGCAGGAATGTCTTTGTCTTTCTGGATGCACGCTATCTCCCGCAACTGAATACCTTCTTCCCCCTTAATGCACTCAAGAGGTTTCTCTAGGCTTTTTGAAATCACAGGCTGACACTGATTCCAGGGTCCCAGCCTCCAGTCGTACAATTCCTTGTGCCAGTCACAGACTTTGAAACAATTCTGCTGGTTATTGGGTCTCTCGGCCTGCTTACAGTTAGTGTGCAGCGTCGTCCATCCCTCCACATGAGCGCACCATACAGCCCTCGTTTGGATGCCTCCTGGACCACATTCATCTCCCATGCATCGGCCCCATGGACCTGCAAAAATTGCAACACAAAAATTAGCAGTGTTACTAGAAGAAAACTACACGTTATTTCACATTCCAGAAAGACCTCTCAAGACCTAGTACATTAACTTCCCTGAGGTGTTATAAAGTAGGTCTCTGTACACAACTGTTGAAAAGCAATGATCTGCACTAAGAATTTCTGCAAAAGGGGAACTGTGTCACAGAGATTATATAAGGTAACTGCTGGGACAATTTCTCTTTGGGTCCTTTTGGGATTACTAAAAGTTTGGTTTAGTTCATTTCCTTTATTTTAGGTAGTTAGAAATCCTTGCTGATAAAGGACATCAGAAATTAGTCACAGGGAAAACTCATTACTCCTGCCTCACAATCATCAAATCGATTTCAGTAACTGGCAAAGAAAATGGCCCCATGTGAAGAACTTCTTGCAGGCATTTCTCTTCCTGGACAATTAACTATTTTGTGAAACTTGCTCTCTTCTACATCATTTTTTATTTTCATAGACTATGACTGCAAGGGTCTAATAGTTGTGATTTATGTGTGCTGGTAGACCTTAAAGTGTTCACTTTCTGGTTACCAAAGCTGGGAAGCAAAAAATCTTCATTTAGGTGCGTAAATGTGCCTTTAATTTTTTTAAATAAATAGATAAATTTATGTTTTTTTAAATAAATTTAAAGGCACATTTATGCACATAAAAAAATACCAAATTTATTTTTTTCCTATTTCCCCAGTGAAGTACAGAGCTGGGTAAGATAATTTAAATTTAACTAAAATATTTTTGCAATTTTCTAATCATTGAGTGGTTTCTTGGGGTCTTATTTATTTATTCATTTCTTAAACATGAAGTATTTGGTGTTATAGAGCTGTTTTATGGAATACTTATATCAGTGGCTTTAATATGAAATCTGTTTTTTTTCTGTGAAATCCTTCTTGGAATAGATTTAAACCTTATATTTGCATATATTATTTTTTTCTAAGGTAGATGTTATGATTTTCAGTGCTTTAACAGACAGATCCCAAATTATGAAATCGAGAATTGTATTATTTTGGAATCATAAAGAAACTTAAAAATCACATGATTACATGATTTTCAAAAATTATTCCATGAATTTGAGAAATTCTTTGATGTGCTTTAGAGCCATTTTCTATCTGTTGTGTGGGAAGCTGAGGACCAACACGTGGGGTGAGCTCTAGTGCCCCTCACATGCTTACATTGGTGCCATCCTCCCTCATTGCTGCTTTTGTAAGAAAAACTCTATTTGTAGTAATCAGTTTTATTCACATGGGGATTATGTATAAGATTACGTCTGCAAGAGGTTTCTACTGTGGAAAAGTGTAACCCACTAAAGTGGGTCAATGGATTCATTCTATGGATGAGAAAACAGGAAACAAGAAGGAAAAGTAATTTGCCAAGTTTGAATATTTAATGAATAACAAAGCCATTCTGTATTTTAGATTACAGTTCCAACTTTTAGTCATATGATTTATCTTGGACATAAGAGCTGTAGCCTCAGTTAGCTTCTTCTGTACAAAACAACTATGAGTATACAAATAAAAAAAAAAAAGTATGTGCATATTATAGTTAATCTAAACATTTAATTTTGTTTAATATGAAAGATGCTTATAATTCGTTGAGAATTTCCTTACAAATGTCATTATGGAGTTGTAAATAGAATAGAGACTTGCTGTAAATATTGTTCTAACTAATTATTATTGCATAAAAGTAAATATTAGATACTTGGCATACCCATATCATTCTTTTATGAAGTTTGTATATAAAGAATTACAAGGAGGTAAAATACTGATGCTTATAAGGGATGTAATATACTTATAAGGGATATAAAATACTCAAGGATATTGGGGAACAGTCTCCGTGAAGCGTTAATACTGAAACTTTATGGGCTTAGAAAGCCAGTAGGTTTGTTGCATCTGTCAAAATGCAATCCACCTAATAATACTTTAATCTTATTTTTAATTTGTTGAAAAATATATGTTCACAAATCTGGTGATTCTTTCTTAAAATTTTCTAAATACTCAGAACCTAGGACACTTCTTAATAAGAGAACCCAGTAATATGTATAAGATTTCAGAATTATTTCCACACATCCTTGGCATTTATTCTCCATCCTCACTGTGCTTGAACAAAACATTGGTCCTTATTTTCCATCTGAAGACAGCATATAAAAACATATTTATATCAGGCTCTCAAATTAGGAGTAAACTATCTGCCATTAAGTCTGAATTTGAAAATATAAGTGTCTTGTACTAACTCAGACTCTAAATCCCAGATGTAATTTAGGTGAACCTCCTGATCTATTATTGTTTTCTAATTTTTGAAATTAATTATGAAGTTAGACTGACTAATCAGATTGTGGTGATTAAGAAAAAAATTAGTCTTTTATCTTCAAAGTGTAAATAAATGATTTTTTATAACGAACTTATGAGTTGTCACTTAAAAAACATAATTGTACATTTTTGGGAAGGCTTCACTATTACTGATAGATGTGATTGACTAATTAATATAAATTAATGTTTTATTACAGAAATCTGAGTATATAAAATGTGAACTGACCTCATACAGACTTGTATGTAATTGCTAAGAAAAACAAGTCTGTATGTAATTGCTAAGAAAAACAAACATACTGAAAATAACTTTTTTTCCCTAAAACAACTGTGAAACAGAACTATGCTACACTAGTCAACTCTTAAGTCTGAAAATTACCCTGGACAAGATAAGGACTGGGGAAGATATTAAACTTTTACAAACCAAAATTTAGTAAAAAAATCTGGCTTACTTCTAAGTTCATTCTAAAATAAAAGTAGAAGATGGTTGCTTTGAAAATGATTCATAGTTTACTTATATCAAATTATGGAGAGCTCCCTTTTTACACACTTCCAGAGCACCACGTGTGTTTCTCACATAATGTTTAAATGTTAGTCACACTTTAAGGTAGTATAATTAGTAATGATTATCAAATATTTAATATCTGTTTATCACATTAGACTGACTCTATATATGGCCCCTTGAGGACAGGGCGTTGTCTACCCTCTGCAACAAATGTAGACAGAACACGTAGGACAAGTTCAATAATATTTTTGAATGAATGAATAAAATCAGAAACCAAATCAAGGAAATAATTCCAATCAATTTGATTCAACAGATGCCATTTGAACAATTAATTGTGGATAAAGACAAAATGTGCTTTTCCTTTAAGCCTTTCCGATATATCGTTATCTAGAGATTTTTGATTTTTATCTAATTATTGAAAACACAAGCAGATACTAGTGACATAACTTAAAAATACAGATCAATATTTAATTACAGTCAGAACCACAATGTAATCTTGAGAACCTCTAATTTTTCCATGTTACCCATTGTAGTAATAGCTAAATATACACAATGATTTTCTGAAATGAGCATTGTCTTAGAGGCAGATTTCAGATGATCATGGATGTCAACTACAGTATTTCTTACTAGACTATTCTCTTGCCTTCAGAGCCAGTTAAAAGCACATATTTCTGCAATGATTTTCAGCTACATCTAAAAATATAATATTTTATTTCTACTCAAGATGTATAAATGCCTTAAGAAATAAAACGGCTCATATAAAAGTTTAATAATACTGGTATCTTATTTATAACATCATTTATCAAATGTTCTTTTCCCACTTTATAAAAAATAAAAATGCAGTCCCTAAAGGGTCAGGGAGTATATTTTCATTCTTTTGTTTTGAGAAACTAAATTTTCTCAGCCAAGAACATTTCTAATCACCTAGTTCTCTATTGATTTTTCACAGTGCTGATTCCACTACAGAGGCTGGTTAGTCAATGAAAATAGTTTTTTGATCAATTAATATAAAAATTACCATTTGATATATAGAAATGTTGACAAGTGTTATTGCAAATTCAAATTCAGAATTCATCATAAAAGTAAGATAGTTCTTACTTAGATGTTCCTTATTGAATACCAGGAATATAACACGCATGTGTGTGTGTATATCTTTTACATATGCTTAATTAGCTAGTTATATTTGTAAAAGCTTTGCACTTCCGCTAATTTAATGGAATAACCAGTTACATTCCATAGTCTGAACATGTCACTTAATTTCCATAGCTTACTTTTGGATAAATTGCCTCAACAATTTTGTTCCGAAAGGAGAGAAATTACAGATCTTAATATCCAAGTCATTATATTTTTAATGTCAACGCCAGCAGGAATAAACGACTCAATTCAATAATACTATTATATATAGATAAGGCATAATAATTGCTGAAGTTTGTTCAGATAACTCAGAAAAGCATATGTTATAAATATAAATATATTCAAATTCCCATTTTGATAGTATTATCACAGATTTTTATTAACCAGCTACTCACAGATAACACTGTGGAATTTATTTTATTCCAATTATATTTACACAGAACCAGCAGATAACGTATCCTGAGAAAACTTCATAGAGATATATAAAAATACCTACTGAGGCTAAAGGAAAACAATAAAATGCATGAAGGCACCAGCAAAAGCAGAGGAACTATAATCATGATTGAACCTAAAAAAATAAACCATCATCCACCTTGCAGGCTTTAACTGCTCTTATCTTTTCATTGCACCTTGGGTATCACATGTGTGTCCAATTAACCAACCTCTTGAAAGATCAGATCTTCCCCACAGTACACACAATGAAGCACTATCTACTTCTGCCCTCCAAGCAGTCTTGACACAAGTACACACTGAAAAGGGACCAAATTGAATAGAAATGGACCAATCTAAAACTCCTCTTGACAACTGAGAATTGTTAACCCAATTAGCTACCATGTTTCAAGGGGTGCAAATGTTTTCAAGTACAATTTGAAAACCCAATATGTAAACTCTATCAGGGAAAACATGAAATCCTCTACCAATTAAAATATGACAGTGTGCAGCAAATGTCTCTGCATAAATGTTAAAATTCAGCTCTGCATCTTACATTACTAAGAGTGGGAGGCAGTGGTAGTAGAAGATCTGGGGGAGTA